GACGTCGGTGTCGTCGTCGTCGTCGTCGGTGTCGTCGTCGTCGTCAAGTCGTTGGAGACGTCGTCGGTGTCGTCGTAGTCGTCGGCGGCGTCGTCAAGTGCCATGTGGTATCCACCGTCACGGTCTTAAGAGATTTTGCAAACTAAGTTGCGGGTCGGTGGGTGGGATGTTTGCGCGAGCAGTGGAGCGGACAACTCATTGCGAACAGAAATTAATTGCACCACATATTTTGCGCCACATAGATTGCACAGCATAGATTGCACAGCATACATTCTCCTTTCTAAAAAGAGAATAGACTCTACCCCTCCCCCCCCGGAGTTGTCGCCCCCCCTCTCGGGTATGTAAATCACATCTGATTCTGACCACATGTCCATCCTAAGTATGAAATCGCAATGTCCCAGGCCAACCGGTATCCCCCCCTGAGGTTCCCGTGTAAAAAACACTATGCGGTGACATTTTCTGTTCTAACATGACACTTTTTCGCGAATCCCTTGCAAAAAACTAAGACGAAGTGCACGCGCGCGCGTCGTCGCGCGCGCATGCCGAAATCCTTCGAAAACCTTCGGTGCCGGAAGGATTTCGCAATCGAGTTTCCAAAAAACATACAAAACAAAAGGTTTCGCAACACTGATGTGCTAAAAAAGCTTCCGCGCGAGCTGTTGCGAAATCTTGAGAAACCATAGGTTTTTTAAACAGATTTTCACAAAATGCATTCAAACAGGCGTCGCGCGCGCATGTCGAAATCTGTCGAACGCCCTTGCGCGTGTGCCGTCGCGAGAATCCTCTTCAACAAAATGGGACGAAGTGCAGACGCGCGCGTCGTCGCGCGCGTATGCCGAGAACCTTCAAAACCCATCGGTTTCGGAAGGATTTCCAAATCGTGTGTCCGAACAACTTACAAAAACACAAGGTCTCGCAACACGGATTTTCAACAAAAGCGTGCGCGCGCGCTCTTGCGGCGTCGTCGTCGTCGTCGTCGTCGCCGTCCTCCCTCCTCCCGCGTCGTCGTCGTCGTCGCCTACGTCGTCCTGTCTTTCCTCGTGTTCGTCGTCGTCGTCCTCTTTGGCGTCGTGGTCGTTTCCGTCGTCGTTGTCGCCGTGGTCGTCCTTCCTCCTCCTCCTCCCTCGTCGTCGTCGTCGTCGTCCGTCGTCGGCGTCTCGTCGTCGTCCCTCCTATTTCGTCGCCGTCGTCGTCGTCGTCGTTGTCGTCGTTTCGTCGTCGTCTTCCCTCCTCCGTCGTCGTTGTCGTCGTCGGCGTCGCCGTCCTTCCTCCTTCTTCGTCGTTCGCGTCGTCGCCGTCCTCCCTCCTCCCTCGTTGTCGTCGTTGTCGTCGTTGTCGCCGTCGTCGTCCTCCGTCCTCCCTCGTCGTCGTCTTCGTTGTCGACGTCGTCGTCGTCTTCGTCGTCGTCGTCGGCGTCGGCGTCGTCTCCTTCGTCGTCGTCGACGTCGGCGTCGTCGTCGTCGCCGCCGTCGTCCTCGTCGTCGTCGTCGTCGTCGGCCGTCTTGCTTCTCCGGCCTTCTTGGGGCGCTCTTGAGACGCCCCCGAGGACTCCAAGACGACCCCGGAGCGATATCTGTGCTCGGTCCTGCATGGGTTTTGCAAACCAAGTTGCGGGTGGGTGGGTGGGATGATTGCGCGAGCAGTGGAGTTGACAACTTCAAGTTCGGCAAGTGATTTATTCTCCTTTCTAAAACCAGAATAGGATCTACCCCCCCCCGGCGTTATCAATCCCCCTTTCGAGTTTGTAAACCATACATGAGTCTGACCACATGTCCATCCTAAATATGAATGTACACTATCCCAGGGGGGCCGGTATCCCCCCCCTGAGGTTCCCTTGAAAAAAACACTATGCGGTGACATTTTTGTTCTAACATAACACTTTTTCATGAATCCCTTGCAAGAAATAGGACCAAGTGCGCGCGCGCGCGCCGTCGCGCGCATGCCGAAATCCTTCAAAAACCTTCGGTGCCGGAAGGATTTCGCAATCGAGTTTCGCAACATTGATTTGCTAGACAAGCTTCCGCGCGAGTTCTTGCGAAATCTGAAGAAAACCATTGGTTTTTCAAGATTCTCACAAAATGCTATTAAACGGGCATCGCGCGCGCCTGTCGACATCTGTCGAACGCGCTTGCGCGTGTGCCGTCGCGAGAATCCTCCTTGCAAAAAACGGGACGAAGTGCAGACGCGCGCGTCGTCGCGCGCGTACGCCGAAAACCTTCAAAACCCATCGGTTTCGGAAGGATTTCAAAATCGTGTGTCCAAAAAACATACAAAAACCTCAGGTTTCGCAACACGGTTATTCAACAAAAGCGTGCGCGCGCGCTCTTGCGTCGTCGTCGTCGTCGTCGCCGTCCTCCCTCCTGCCGCGTCGTCGTCGTCGTCGCCTACGTCGTCCTCTGTCTTTCCTCGTGTTCGTCGTCGTCGTCCTCTTTGGCGTCGTGGTCGTTTCCGTCGTCGTTGTCGCCGTGGTCGTCCTTCCTCCTCCGCCCTCGTCGTCGTCGTCGTCCGTCGTCGGCGTCTCGTCGTCGTCCCTCCTATCGCGCCGTCGTCGTCGTCGTCGTCGTCGTCGTCGTCGTCGTCGTCGTCGTCGTCGTCGTCGTCGTCGTCGTCTTCCCTCCTCCCTCGTCGTTGTCGTCGTCGGCGTCGCCGTCCTTCCTCTTCGGCGTTCGCGTCGTCGCTGTCCTCCCTCCTCCCTCGTCGTTGTCATCGTTGTCGTCGTTGTCGCCAGCGTCGTCCTCCCTCCTCCCTCGTCGTCGTCCTCGTTGTCGACTTCGTCGTCGTCTTCGTCGTCGTCGTCGGCGTCGGCGTCGTCGTCGTCGTCGTCGACGTCGGCGTCGTCGTCGTCGCCGCCGTCGTCGTCGTCGTCGTCGTCGTCGTCGTCGTCGTCGTCGGCGTCGTTGACGTCGTCATCGTCGTCGGTGTCGTCGTTGTCGTCGTCGTCGTCGGCGTCGTCATCGTCGTCGTGGGTTTTGCAAACCAACTTGCGGGTGGGTGGGTGGGATGTTTGCAAGAGCGCGGGATGTGTCAAGTCGTTTGTTAAAATCGATTGCACGACATAGATTGCATCACATAGATTGCGCACCACATAATGCACAACATAGGTTGCACACTATAGACAGTACAACGTACATTCTCTTTCCTAACAACAGAATAGACTCCACCCCCCCCACGGCGTTCGCCGCCCCCCTTTCGTGTATGTAAATCAGACATGATTATGACCACATGTCCATCTTAAATATGAATTCACACTATCCCAGGGGAAAAGGTATCGCCCCCCCCCGAGGTTCTCATGTTAAAAACGATGCGCGGGGACATCCTTTGTTCTAACATAACAGTTTTTTCACTAATCCCGTGCAATAAACGGGACGAAGTGCAGACGCGCGCGCCGTCGCGCGCGCATGCCGAAATCCTTCAAAAACCTTCGGTGCCGGAAGGATTTCGCAATCGAGTTTCCAAAAAGCATACAACAACGCAGGGGTTCGCAACACTGATTTGCTAAAAAAGCTTACGCGCGAGCTCTAACGAAATCTCAAGGAAACCATAGGATGTTCAATATTTTCACAACATGCTATCAAACGGGCTTCGCGCGCGCGCATGTCGAAATCTGTCGAACGCCCTTGCGCGTGTGCCGTCGCGAGAACCCTTGACAAAAAATGGGACGAAGTGCAGACGCGCGCGTCGTCGCGCGCGTATGCCGAAATCCTTCAAATCCCATCGGTTTCGGAAGGATTTCAAAATCGTGTGTCCAAGAAACCTACTTAAAACACAAGGTTTCGCAACACGGTTATTCAACAAAAGCGTGCGCGCGCGCTCTTGCGTCGTCGTCGTCGTCGCCGTCCTCCCTCCTGCCGCGTCGTCGTCGTCGTCGCCTACGTCGTCCTCTGTCTTTCCTCGTGTTCGTCGTCGTCGTCCTCTTTGGCGTCGTGGTCGTTTCCGTCGTCGTTGTCGCCGTGGTCGTCCTTCCTCCTCTCTCGTCGTCGTCGTTGTCCGTCGTCGGCGTCTCGTCGTGGTCCCTCCTATTTCGTCGCCGTCGTCGTCGTCGTCGTCGTCGTCTTCGTCGTCGTCGTCGTCGTCGTCTTCCCTCCTCCCTCGTCGTCATCGTCGTCGGCGTCGCCGTCCTTCCTCCTCCCTCGTCGTTCGCGTCGTCGCTGTCCTCCCTCCTCCCTCGTCGTTGTCGTCGTTGTCGTCGTTGTCGCCGTCGTTGTCCTCCGTCCTCCCTCGTCGTCGTCTTCGTTGTCGACGTCGCCGTCGTCTTCGTCGTCGTCGTCGGCGTCGGCGTCGTCGTCGTCTTCGTCGTCGTCGACGTCGGCGTCGTCGTCGTCGTCGCCGCCGTCGTCGTCGTCGTCGTCGTCGGCGTCGTTGACGTCGTCGTCGTCGTCGTCGGTGTCGTCGTTGTCGTCGGCGTCGTCATAGTTGTCGTCGTTGTCATCGTCGTCTTCGTCGGCGTCGGCGTCGTCGTCGTCGTCGTTGTCGGCGTCGTCGAAGTCGTTGGAGACGTCGTCGGTGTCGTCGTACTCGTTGTCGGTGGCGTCGTCGTTGTCGCTGTCGTCGTCGGCGTCGCTGTCGTTGCCAAGTGCCATTTGGTAACCACCGTCACGCTCTTAAGGGATTTTGCAAACCAAGTTGCTGGTGGGTGGGTGGGATGTTTGCAAGACCGCGGGATGTGTCAACTCGTTTGTTAAAATCAGTGTTACTACAGATACTGCACCACATATACTTCACAACAAGTATTGCACAGCGTGTATACTGCACAATATGGAGTGCACCGCATCGATTGCACCACACGTGTTACATCACCTAAATTACAAAACATAGATTGCACACCATATATTGCACAGCATCGGTGGCACCACATAGATTGCACCACAGACGTTGTACCACATAAACTGCACCACGTTGCGCCACGTAGATTTCATAACATTGATTGGCCAACATATGTTGCTAGACGCAACGTTTGGGGCCTACGCTTGCTAAAATGTGTAATTTTAGTTATCAAAGCGATGGCGCACGACTCCGTTCACATTTCGGCCCCAGAGCCAGTTCTGCCCGATGCCGCGCGAGGGCATCCGAGATTGATCTCCATAGCAGGCGGCGCGCCGCCCATGGGGCAACCTAATTTCGACGTTGACTATGCAATCGCCGGTATGGACAGACCGTCCCACGCAGCGACTCCACGATACGCCGCAGCCGACCCAGCAGCCTTGTTCGAAGCAGGCTTCCAGGCGGGCGCCCAGTGGGCGCTTTCGAGAGTGCCCAACGATCTCCACCAGCGGGTCCTCGCCGGGGAGCGATCTGTGTGGGAACGAGTCCACGAAGGGATGCCCGCCGCCAGGGACGGCACGCTGGGCCGCAGCGCGGCGGCTGCCTGGGCGTCGTGGTGCCCGCAACAGTGGGCCGCACCCGGCGCACCAGCGCCCCCGGTCGCACGGCTCTCTGGGAGGGCGGACGGAGACATTTCGCCGTGGGGAGCGTGGTCGCAGGCGGCTTCGGCGGAGGGCGTCAGGGGGAACTGGCCGTTGTGGCAGGATGGCATGAGCGCGCTTTCCACAGAAGGACCCTCTGCCGCAGATGCGGGGTACGAGCTTGTGATCAACGAAGGCAACTATTTCGCGGACCTCACGTCCGCGGGGCAACTCTTCCCGGCCGGGGGTGCTGAGGAGGACGAGTTCGCAGAAGCGGAATTATATGATGATGCCGAGTCCAATGGCGAAGCCGCAGTGGCCTTCGCGACCCGGCCAGGGAAGCCGTGCGCCCCCGTAGATTGCGACATGGTGATGGCCGTCCGGGCTGAATGCGAGGAGCACCTCATCCAGATCAGGACCCTGTGCGAACAGAATAGCCAGGTGATGTCCGCCTGCTGGGGCGACGTTGGAGACACGGCGGGCGGAGCGTCCTCCTCCAGCAAAGGCTTCGACACGGACAAGCAGAATGCGCAGCGGAAGTTCGAAAAGCAGATCGAAGAATTGCTGCACAAGCTTGGAGCACGCTTGTACGAGCTCTGCGAGGATACCCCGATTGACCACTACCCGGTCCCCAGGGACGCGAAGAATGCGCTCGCCAAACACATCACGCGACTTCGGGGGGCCCAGGAACAGGCCACGGCTTGCGCCGCTGGATCTCAGCCATGGGGTGGGGAAGACGGCGGCGACAGCACCGTCGCCCATGCCAATTACACACAGCTCCTTGGCAAGAAGGGGTACCTCAAGCTTCCTCAATGGTTCCAAGGCTGCCAGGCGCCGAGCAACACGGATGAGCTGCCCAGGCTCCCTGAGGAGACTGCGGATTACGATTGGGGCAGATGGTGGCTTGATGTGGGCGGTTTCAAGGACGGCGGGCTCGCAAAATCGCAGAGCGGAAAGGGCCAGACTCTGATGCAGAGGCAGGTCTCGGGAGCTGGGGCCAGGGAAGTGAGCAGGGGTAGGCGGATGGGGCAGGGGGGGCTGGAGGAGGAGAATGAAGAGGGAAGGGGGAGAAAGCAGAAGGGTAAGCACAAAGAGGAGGAGGGAGAGGAGAGGGAGGATCAGGAGGAGGAGGAGGGCGAGGAGGAGGGCGAGGAGGAGGGCGAGGAGGAGGGCACGGGTGAGCAATGAGGAGGAAGACGAGAGGAAGATGATGTCGAGGACAGGGGCGAGGCAGCGGAGGAACACAGGACGATGGAGGAGGAGGGATGATGAGGAAAGGGAAGGCGAAGACGAGCACGAAGATGAGGACGAGGAGAAAGACAAGGGCGAGGATCAGGAGGACCACCAGACGGAAGAAGAGGAGGACGAAGAGTACCTCGAGGATGACGAAGACTGGGAGGACAAGGAGGACGATGATTGTGATAGATGATGCCGGTAACGATGATGATGCTGTTGATGATGATGATGATGGTGGTGGTGGTGATGCTGATGCTGATGATGATGAGGATGAGTATGAGGATGAGGCTGATAATGAGGATGGGACGATGATGACGATGATGATGCTGATGATGGTGCCAGTGATGATGACGGAGATGATGTTGATGATGCTGATGATGACGATGACGATATCGATGACGACCATCTTGATGAGGATGACGACGACGATGGCGCCGATGATGAAAATGATGATCATGACGATCATGATGATGACGATGATGCTGGTGGTGATGATGATGATTGATCATGCTGGTAAGGGTGCTGATGATTCTGACGATTAGGATGAGGATGATGCCGATGGCGTCGATGTCGATGATGATGATGAGGCTAATACAGCTGATGATGATAAGTATCACGACGACGATTGCGATGATGCTGACTATGCTGATGACGCCGATTATGATTTTGCTGATGATGGTGCTGATGATAATGCTGATGACGATGACGATGATGATGACGGTGATGATGATGCTGATGATGATGATGATGATGATGATGCTGATGCTGATGATGATGATGATGATGATGCTAATGATGATGATGATGATGATGATGATGATGACGATGATGATGATGATGATGCTGATGATGATGATGATGATGCTCATGATGATGATGATGATGCTAATGATGCGGCTGATGGTAATGACGACGAGGTTGCTGTCGGCGTGGATGATGACGATAATGAGGATGGCGACGATGATGCTGCTGATGATGATGAAGATGATGATGATGATTATGATGCTGATGCTGCTGATGATGATGATGATGATGATGATGATGAGGATGAGGATGAGGATGAGGATGAGGATGAGGATGAGGATGAGGGTGATGGTGATGATGATGCTGATGATGATGATGATGATGATGATGATGATGATGGTGATGATGATGATGATGATGATGATGATGATGATGATGATGATGATGATGCTGCTGCTGATGATGATGATGATGCTGATGATTCTTATGATGACGGTTGTGGTGGTGGTTGTGGTGACGATGATGATAACGATGAGGAGGAGGAGGAGGAGGAGAATAATAAGAATACTAATAATAAGAAGAAGGATGATGGAAAATGATAGAGGAGGAAGAAGGAGTAAGGAGAAGAAGGAGGATGAGGAGGGGTGGGAGTAGGAGGAGGAGGAGGAGGAGGAGGAGGAGGAGGAGGAGGAGGAGGAGGGGTAGGAGGAGGAGGAAGAAGAGGAGGAGGAGGAGGAGGACGAGGAGGAGGAGGACAACGAAGGAAAGGAGGAGAAGGAGAAGCAGTAGGAGGAGGAGAACGAAGAGAAAGACGCGGACAATGAGGATATATTGAGGATGGGCTGGGGCAGCGGCACACCAGGACTGGAACCAGCTGGACGACCGGCGATGGAGCGCGCTGCACCACGCCCTCTACTCCATGACTTTCTCGTGGCGAGCAGGTGGCGCGCAATGGAAAGGGCCCAAGGAATCGGAGGGTTGACAACTCGCCCTCGCCAGAAGCTGGCGGGAGGCCCACGGAAGCCACCGAAGGCAGGAAACGAGGGTCTCCTCGCCGGCGGAAGTTCGGCTGAAGTCGGCGGAAGCGAAGGTGAACACCCAAGAGAGGTTAACGCCAGTGTACCCAGGGTTTCCGCAGCTGGCCAGGTGAGGCGGCCAAGCAAGGCATCAAGCACGTCTCAATCGAGACCCTCAACACCAAGACCATTGGCTCGGAGGGGGAGCCGCTGCCCAAAGGGTTTACCTGCCTACATTTTCTGTGTCAGGGCAGCGACAAGAGCTTCGAGAAGAGGAATCTCGTGATCCCGCTTCTGGAGAAGAAGGCCGACATCGAGGCCGAGGACGACATGGGGAACACTCCCCTCCTCAAGGCGGCCGGAACCGGCTTGGCCGACTTCGTGGAGATCCTGATCTCTAGGGGCGCCAACACTGCCGCCCTGAACAAGAACGGAAAGGGGGCGCTGGAGCTCAGTATCGTTTAACCCTCCCCGTCCCCACCCGGCAATGGTCCCACAGCCCAACCATCCCACCACCCCAGTCGGGGATTGGCCTCTCGAAGCCCGAAGGTAATAGCCTACATCCCCCTAGAGGGGTACATCGGCCAGCGGAGCCCAGGCCACGCCAGTGGGGATAGGGATCGGTTCCCAGACCCCCGACGTCATGATTTTTTAACGTCGACACCCACAGTTCTCGACCCATTCCCCAGGACCAGTTTTTCATGCTGAATCTTTCTTGGACGGCCCTGAGGCCCGGCAAGGGCCTACAGATGCCGAAAACGGCCAAACACCTCCCGCCAGTTGTTTTTGTTCCACAGCGCGAGGGGGTCTAGGTCAAGCGATGCCCAGGAGCTGGCCAAGGGCTGCTCCAGCACGGCCGCCGCCATGCTGCGCGACGCCCGGGAGCGGGGAAAGCACGTGCCAGAGACTCGGGGCCAGAGCGGCAGGACGCGCACGGGGGTCAGCTGCAAGCGCAACGCCCGCTACGAGCGGGGGCTGCTGGACGCGAAGAGGGACGTCAGAGGAGGAAAAGGTGCCGAGACTGCTACCCTTCCCTTGGTCACCACGTCTGGGTTCTCCTCGGATTCTGGTCAGAACGCACCCCAGGAGGGGTCCGTGCAGTAGCGGTGTGGGCATCTTGTCGTTTCCCCAGGACGACCGCGCGTCTGCCGTAGGCCGAAGGAGAAAGAATGGCACAAGCATGAACTTTTGACGGTCCTCGCGAATTTGGTGGACCTGCGCTGGCCTCCGTTACCCTGGCGCGCTCCGCGCGCGCGGACTGTCGAAAGTTTGTATTCACACCGATCAGAGTTCTTATGAAAAAAGCGTGCGCTTCCGAGGACTCCAGAGTTCGCCCAGGAAAATCAAGAATTTGGGCTGGACCCTGGGCGTTTCCGTTGAGCTTCTGTTCTTCGTAGAGTGTTCCTGTATATCTGGACCGGGACTACTGTTTGAGAAAACGCTTGAAGCGAAGCCGGCTTTCTTAGCTCATGATGTTCTGAACTCTGAGCAGGGGTGTCTGCTTTTCTTTCTTCCTCTTACAGACGGCATGCGCGAGCAGCCGGCCCCGATGTCCAACAGCGGGGGCCAGGAAGGCCCGCAGAGCGACGCTTGGCAGTGGAAGCGCTCCGAGCGCTGGCACCGGAGGGGCCCCGAGAGGCACCGGAAGGGTGCCCACAGGGACTAGAGGAGCACCGATGGGCATATGCTTCGGGTGTTGCTAGAAGCGTCCCTGGCCCAAGGTGCTCATGGGATGTGCAGAGAAGTCCCCACGGCCTCCAGAGCACCCCTCACGAGGCCAGAGGGTCCCACAGGCTCCGGAATTGAGCGAGCAGCAAGTAGCACCTTGGGCCAAGGGTACCTTCGGCTCCCCCCCGAATTGTGTGTAATCACAGCACAGGCGGATGGGTGATATCAGAAGCCGATCGCCCATCTTGGATTGTCGGAGGGTCCGAATTGTCGTTGGCCTTCAGGCAATTCTGCCCAGTGCCCGTGCTCATCTTTGTACAGCTCCGCGCTCTGGCAACCGCGGCACGTTAACAATCAAAGTAGACGCGGTGGTGAAGACCCACTGGCGGTGCCCATTGGTTGTGCCCCCTCTCCTCCTGTTCCTTCTCGTCGGCCTCATCGTCCTCCACCTCGTTGTCTAATCATCTTCATCCCGTGCCTTCTCCTGATCGTTCTCTTGCTTCTGCTGCTGCTCCTCCTCGCCCTCCTCATCTTCCTTGCGATTATCGTCTTCGCCATTCATGATGACCTCTTCCTCCTTATCATCTCCCCCCTTCTTTCTCTCTCCCTCTCTCTCTCTCTCTCTCTCTTCTTTCTCAAGCCATTTTGGCTCAAGCCGTTTTGGCTCAAGCCAAAAGCCAGAAGCCGTGCGCTCTCCGTGCGTACCGTAGCTGCTTCCGCCCGCGGCGCCTCGTGGGCCCTGCGCGTCGATCTCGTGCCCGCGATGCTCGTCCCACGTCGGTCGGCCCGTCTGGCTCTTCTCGCGACTGCCGTGACACTGCTCCACGTGACCGCAACCTCCCGCATCGTCGCCGTGACCGTCCTCGTCTTGATGGTCCTGCTCGCCGTGATGGTGATGATGATGATGATGATGATGATGATGATGACGATGATGATGATGATGATGATGATGATGATGATGATGATGATGATGATGATGATGATGATGATGATGATGATGATGATGATGATGATCGTCGCCGACAGGATGACCACGATATTCGCTCGCGCGAGGAGCTCAACCCTCGCCCGGACTCCTTCAAGTAGCAGGTCGAGTCCACGGTTTCCACCACTGTCGCGACCTCGGTCCAGACTGCCACCACGCCCGCGCTTCAAGCTGTTGATGCTCTTCGTGTTTCGCTGGCCGGCATGCCTCAGCAGGTCGACCAGTCAGTCGCCGCCCAGCTCAGCCCGCAGCTTGACACCGTCAAGCGCGAGGTCAAGGAGCAGCTGGACGGCCTCTCCGCGCGCGTCAACGAGGAGACAGAGCGCACCACCGTCCTCGAGTCCAACATGGCCCAGATGGCCGCGGACATCAAGGCTCTTCAAGATGCTCTCGCAGTTGCTAATCAACGTCCTTCTCCTCCTCCCCCTGGCACCGAAGGCTTCCAGCGCGACGTGAACACGTGTATCCTCAAGGTCTCCGCGAGGTCACTGGTCCAGCTGGCAGAGGTGCAGAAGTCCATCGGCGACTGGCTCGGGACTCTCGGCTTCGCGAGCGCCGAGCTCACCATCAGGGCCGCCAACCCCATGGACAAGCTGTTCACCGTGCGCTTCGGGGGTCTGCCCAGCCCGGCTGCCCGGAAGGTCTCCCGCGCTCTCGTGGGCCTTCGGAAGGATGGCGAGTGGCTTCGGTTCTCCGCTCCCGCAGTCGCTGGTGGCGACGTGCAGCTTCACGTGGGTCCGGACAAGAACCCGCGCCAGATCAAGCTCGAGATGCAAGCGCGCCGTCTTCGTAAAGAGCTCATGAACAAGGACACCCAACACAAGTGGCACATCGACCGATGCCGCGGCTGGATTTCTGCCGGCTGGGACCCCATCTTCCAGATCGACCCGATGCCCGGACGCGAGGCCACCATCGTCAAGTACAACACGGCAGGCATTACTAAGAACGGTTTCAACAAGACCGAGCTCGAGCGCATCGTGGACCCTAGTCTTGCTCCTGATGCTGAACCTGAGTGGTGTCTTTGAGCGCTTCGTGCGATTGCTGCCGCCACCTGCCTCTCCGACCTCCCGACTGCAACTGCCTGTTCTCAGTTGCGTTTTGTGTCGTGGAACTCTCGTGCGTTGCTGCAGTACCAGGGCGCCAAGGCGAACATCAAGTACAAATACATGTCGCGCCTCTGGCTGTCCGAGTCCATTTGCGCTTTTGAGGAGCTGCATCAAGATCAACGTCAACTCGAGCCGTTTCTTCGTCGGGTCACTCCTCATTCTGTGGTGCACTCTACTTTTGTGGCTCTGAGCACGGCGGGCGTGTCCGAGGCGGAATTGCTACTGTTCTCCCTAGTGTTGCTCCTTGTTTTCCTAACCCTGCCTTGTCGGATGGCTCTGCTCTCGTTCGTGGCCGCGCTCTTCGTGTCGTCATCACCGCTGGCCCAATGACCATCTACCACTACAACGTCCACAACTTCCGCCTCTCGGACGCCGAGGTGGGCCGAATTTGCGCCTGCATCGCCGCCGATCGCGACCACGCCGCTGCAGATCCTACCTCCTCCACGACGACTTCAACTTCTCGGCAGATGTGGCCCTTCCTTTGCACGCTCCTGCACCGCGGCGCCAACCTCGACCCAGCGCTGATGCACGTGCCCTCGCTCATCGATGGATTCCCACGTAGTCTTCGCTCGTGGAGGTGTCCAGCAGCGACCCCACGCACTACCACAAGGAGAATAACACCGTCGCCATCATCGACCGCTTCTTCTGCAGCTGGCCAGGGTGGATGCTCTGCCAGATCTTCTCGAGTGCCAGCTGCGAGGGCCGCCCCGAGGAGTTCAGCGAGCAGAGGGTGAGCGACCATGCCGCCCATGTCGTGTCCTTCGCCCATCGTGCTGCGCGTCCTTCGGAACATCAGTCAATCCCGCCCCACGTCTTCAAGAACCCAATGTTCTAGCGCATCAGCGAGTTCATCAAAGAGGACAACATGCACACGCTGTCGCCACCGCGCCGGCTCGAGCGCTACAAGTACCTCTTGCGCGGAGCTGCCCGTGACGTTCGTGACCGCCTTGCTGTCCCTCAGCCTCGATCCTTCAGCGTCAATCGGTACCTTCTCAGCTTCAACTTGCACGCAGTGTTGCTCGCTCTGTTTGGCGTCAAGATGTTCGGCTTGCTGAACGTGTTCTTCGTTCGCACGCGCTGGCCGTGGACTTCGCGCGCGCGGATGGCTGTAATGTGCTTTTGTTGCATCCAGAGTCCTTCCACCAATGGTGAGATCGAGTGCAGCGTGAAGCTGCGGACTGCTCCAGACAATGTATCCGATCTGCTCCTGACGAGGCTCGGCTGTCGCGCGCGCGCCCGCGCGCAATTTGCCGCTCTCGAGTGTCGTGCGCGTCTGTGGTCCCCATTCTCTCGTCGCCTGCTTTGCACTCTGCTCGTGATGGTTATCGCGTTCATTCCGATCCAGATCAGCGTCTTCAAGCTCTTGTCGACTACTGGAGGCCAGTCTTCTCGGCGAAGCCGTGGGCAGTACGTGACTCCGATCGCTACCTCCAGCGTTTTGGCCCCACTGCTGACTTCACCGACGTCAGGCCGCCCGCGCTCCCCCTGCTGACTCGTATGGCGTCGAAAAGTGCCCAAACCGCGCCAGACGTGGATTGTCTACCATACGCAGCTTGGACCTCCCATCGTGATGGCTTGACCTCGCTGCGCGACGTCATGGCGTGGCTCCTGAGCGGGCAATCTCATTTTACCTCGGCCAGCATCGCTCTCCAGCCGTTCCCCCCGAAGGGCGTGGCATCCGACGACGGCTCGGGCGGCTCCTGCACCCGTGAAGCCTCCAAGGTGCGCGTTCTCGGTTTGCGGGCAGTGACGTCAAGATCCTTGCTGCCACGCTCAACGCTGCATTGCGCCCTGTCTTCGCGCAGGTGGTGCTCCTCAATCGACGTGGCTTCATCCGTGGGCGGAACTTCGGCCTCAACACCTGCGAACTGGATGCCAAGGTGCGCGAGTGCTCCGCTCATCCGTCAGCATCTACGCGGATGCCTGTCCTGGTGAGTCTGGACTTTGGCCAACATGTCTCATCACTCTGCCAGCCGTTCCTTTTCGCCGCGTTGTGCAGCATGGGGTGTCCGTCTCCGGTGATGTCGTTCATCATGGCCATGTACTCCGCGGTGGAGGCTGTTCCCCCTGCCCCGCGCGGGCCCCAGCGCGTCTTCATGATCAGGAAATGTATACTACAAGGTTGTGCTCTCTCTGGATCGCTGTTCGCCATTGCAAGCGCCCCGCTCCTGACCGCCCTGTTGCGCGACGTCGATCGCCAGAGCCTGGGCATCGTCAGGGCGGCGCTGACGACGTCGGAGCTGCTCCTGCTGAACTTCGTGCTCTTCGGCGTCTCGTTCTCTGGCCAGGTCGCCCGCGCCCTTGCCGAAACCATGCGTAATGTGGTTCCTGCCTGGGGCAGTTTCCAGATCGTCGCGCAGCTTGCGTATCTATGCTTGCAACTTGGTCCCGATGCTTCCCTTCTGGACTCATGGGCGGGACCTTTCACCAAGCTCCGCGCAAGGGCTCGGGCTGTCGGTATTGGCGCGACCCCGGCATCAATGTCCGCCATCCTATGCAACACAGGTGCTGCACCAGTCTTGAGCTACGTAGCGCAGTTCGCCCGCGCCCCCGCCGAGTTCTTGAGGGGGGAAGCGTGGCGCGTTGCATCTGTCTTTCGCTTCCCGAACGGCGCGCTCAGAGTCCGAGATTGGCCTCAACTCCAGCATTGGGGCGGTCCTCGTATCACTTCCTGGGCGGGGCTCGTGGCTTCCACCCTTGCTCGCGCTGCAGCTGTCACCTTCCCGGAGCACGCGCGAATTCTACGACGTCTTCAGGGTGCACCGGAATCATTCGGAGCTGATCGCGCCCTCGCCATGCTTCGCGCTGGCCTTCCTTGCCCGCCATTCTGGCGGACCCTGGCTGTCGTGGAAATTCTGGCCGATGCTGCTGCTGGCGCCGCCCATGGTCGTTACTATTGTGGTGCACGTTGCTCTTTTGCAGCGCGCGTGTCTTTCTCTTCTCCCGCTCCCCCCTGGAGTTCGTCATCAGCCTCAGCGC